CTAAAGCCGCAAGAGAAGCTGCAGGAGGGGGAAGGAGGTGGTAGGTGTGTGCGGGGAGGGGTGGGGGGTGGGGGGAGGAAATCTTTTAATCTCAAACTTGAGAAAATAAATCTTTGTGGACTTAGTTAAACTTCCGCCAATGTCACTTGAGAATTTAAAGTAGAAAACTGGAACAGAAAGATAAGACAGACGGGTGATCGGAATAATTCAGCCAGAAACCAATTTTGTTTAAAAAAAATCGCATTGAAGTCAGTTTTAATAAATGATTTGTTGTTTGATGCTGAGCTAATGGCAAATTCATTTCCAAAATTTTTGAAAGTTGTCATATGACTGAACTGGAAATTTTTTGTTCCCTAATATGCCATCGAACTAGGCAGCCTGGAGATTGAAGAATCCTGAGCTCATTTGAATTCAGCAGCAGACAAATCCACGGAGCCAAAAACCTGTAGGGATGATTATTGGTAAATTTACAGACCTTGGAGGGTTAGTGCATCTGATCTTGTCTGTAAATTTACCAACCTTGGCAAAGGGATCTCATAATGGGAAAATCCCATTACAGCCCCCACCCTTTCCCCCCAGGTCAGTTTACAGACCAGTAAAGAATAAGATGTCCGTCAAGATTTGTATATTTATCAACATTTCGAGTCACCCATAGACATAGGCATCTGTTTATCTCGGCGAATTAATCATTTAGTTTTGCTGTGTAGCTGATGTGTATCTCAGGACTATTCTTTTTTAATGCTAAGAATATCACTCAGACAGAACCTTCACAGGGACCAGCTTTACAACCCTTTTTAAGAGGTGTCAAATTTCCTCATGAAGCTAGTCATTAATGAACCAGTCAACCCACAGGAATTCCGCGCAAGTTTGTCAGGTAGACTAACATTTCAATAATAATAATAATAATCCTTGCATTGATATAGCACTTTATCACATCTTCGATGCGTCTCAAAGCGCTTCACAGAATATATTGTAAAGTGAATTGACTATATATTTTGTGGGGAAAACGTGGCAGTCCCACAAACAATTGTGGATTGAAGTGACCAATTTATTTATTTTGTTTTAAGGAATTAAATCCCCCAGAAAAGCAATCCACCAGTCGACTAACAGCCAGGTTCCTACTCACTGCGAGGTAAACAGAGGTGCTTAGAATAAGGAATTTTGCCAACATTTCACCCTGCCTCGAATCAAACCCAGGTCTCTCGCTTGCGAGGCGAGTGCTCTCACCACTGAGCTACAGGGCTCCACAATGCCTGCAGAACTAACGTAAGTTAGCCAAAGATGAAGTTGAGTGTAAATGTGAAAACACCCACTTTCAACACGTGACTTGCAAATCAGTAATCGGATGAAAACTAAAAGTATGGCAACCCATATTTCATACTAAATGGCAGTTTACATATTCATAATCTTTCAGGTAGAATTTCCAACTGGGTCTTGATTTACTCTACTGTAACGTATCATTTTAGAGTGCCCAGAATGTGTCAAATTCTTCAATGCAGGCTTTAATTTTGAAGGCCCGGATTTCTGCCAGTTCTTTTAAGAACTACAGAAAACTGGCTTCAAAGTTAAAACTGAACTTTAAAAAATTGCCAAATTCTGGACACCGTGAAATGCTGTAGTAAATTTCGATCAAAGGGGAATGTCTTAAGAGTTTTTACATAATAGAGGAGTGAAGCATCAAAATCACATCATTTTAGTTGACTTCAGGAATGCTTTAAATTATCTGCTGGACAACATATATTGATATTTCAGTATGGATCCCTGGTGAAAAAAAGTCAGTTTTGAGACACATCCAGCAAATTAATAGGGAATCTAATTATTGTACTCCAGTATATTTCTGGAAGCAGCAATGAATATAGTAGGCACTGAAAATTAACCTTATAGGGTGCCTCATCGGACCTCGTGAATTGCAGGCCATTGGACCTCCAGCTCAGTGACTCAATCTGAAGGGAATCCCTGGATTACTGCTGGCTTTCAATTTAGTGGAGCCTTTGTTATGGTTGGATCAGAGCCAGTGTCTTCTAAAAATGGTAGGCTGCACGGTTTAACTCAGAACTGGGGATATGCTTAAAAGTACAGCGTTCTAAACTGTTAGAACTTGCAGAGTCTGCTACTGGAACTACCTCATTCACCAAGAGATGAACAAGGGCATTTCAGTTGGCAAACTATTCAGAGCGTGAAACTGGATATATATTTCCTGCTCTGTCTGCATTGCTCTTGCATTGGATTGAGGAGTATTGTGCAGCAAAGTGTCAGTAATTATCGCTAACCCAGCTAATTTTTTATATCATTAAACAACGTGGAATAAGAGCAGCTCGCTAGAAACATTAAGAACTTTAAAGAATGCCCAATGGATCCTTTCTAAATTTTGAACCGTTTAAACATTGCCTTTTTTTAAGTCTTGAATGCCTCTTTGGAATCAGCTGCAGTAAAAAGTTTGACTGCATTGATTGATTCTGATATCACCTCCTGCAAGTCGTTTCAGGAGTGGTAACCCTAATATTTGAGTTTTATTACCATTGTGACGTTGATTTGATGTAGAAACCACTTTAAATCGCTGTTAAACTCAGGTTTCAAAGGCCCACACTATTGGAATAACTTTATGCGCGTTGATCTTCCAGTATACTCAATATGGAACATATTTGTTGATGTTTGATGTTCCTGACGGTAATCGTTAACTTGATAATTCATTGTTGCCTTACTGTTCAGCAATCAGTGATAGATATTTCTGAATGACAGTGGCGTGTGCAGTAATCTGTTCACACTGAATTGAACCATTCATAAATAATTTACCTAGTGAGGAATCTAAATAGCAAACAGGACCTTTGTACTTAACTTCTTTAGGATAAGTGATGAACCATGGGTGTCAGTGTGGTTTAGTTTGTAGCACTTTTGGCTTTGAGTCAGAAGATTGTTGGTTTCAGCACCAAGTTGGGATATTGGGCTCTTAGTCCAGCCTGAAACTTCAGTGCAGTGGTGTGGAAGTGCTGTATCATCAGAGATGCTATCTTTCACTAAACGAAGCCCCTATCTGTCTGTTTAGGTGTACCACAAGTATACAATCAATTCACTTTACAGTATATTCTGTGAAGCACTTTGAGACGTCTAGAAGACGTGAAAAGCGCTATGTCAAACGCAAGGATTATTATTATTATTATCTTAAAGATCCCATGGCACTATTTTGAAAGAGAAAGAAGTTTCACCAGTAGTCAGTGTTCTGACCAACAGGCCCCCAGATACAATTTGCCATTTACTTCATGGCTGTTTGTGGGGTATTTCTGAGTGCAAATTGGCTGTTCTTTTACAAAATACAAACTTTACAATTGTTTTGATAATGTAATAAAGCACCATATCAAATGCAAGGAGTTATTACAATTATTATATCCAGGGTATTATTATATCCAGGGTAATTATTATTAATAATTCTGTTCACATCTATTAAGGTTGGTATTAATCAGATACACTCACTGTTCTAATATACGAAAAAGAGTATTTAGAAAAAAACAATAAACTATTAACTACCTTAGCTAGTATATTGTCCAGGATAGATCTCAGCGAACCATAATAATAATAATCCTTGCATTTGATACAGCACCTTATCACATCTTTGAGACGTCTCAAAGCACTTAACAGAATATACTCTAAAGTGAATTCACTTGTGGGCGAAATGTAGTACTCAAACTTATCTTAAAAAAAATGTAGAGATGTTTCACAGGACTACTGTGAGACTTCAGTGGGAATCTCTACATTTTAAACTATTCAAATATTAAATGTTTCCAGAAATACCAAACTGAAGCTGTGTGGTGACCAAGGTGAAATGAGGCAATGTGTGGGACTTTTCTGAAGGGAAATTGAAACCCATTGAAACCATTATCTCTTTGCTTGCTTCAATGCAAAGTACCTGTCAGTGGATTAGCACTGGATTTCAAAACCTCTGAAATCTCTGTTTCAGATACTAAAAGAGGTATTTTGTGAAATCAAATAACAGTTACAGGAATTAGAAAAAATTGTTGCTGCTGAAAACCAAAAAGCACAAGGACCCGGGTTTGAGTACCCACCCACCCCACCTCCCACAAAAAAAATTTGGTCACCCACTCAATCTACAATTGCTCGTGGGACACTTTGCAATTGGCTGCCGTGTTTTGCCCTCAAAGTACACAGTCAATCCGTTTTACAATATATTCCGTGAAGCGCTTTGAGAGGTTTTGATGACCTGATAAGACGCTATATCAAATGCGCGGATTATTATTATTATCAACCATAGCTGATAGCGTGCAAAGTTCAAATTCACTGGTGTGGAAGAGTTTGTGACTAAAAGATTCCTCAATTGTACTAACTTACAATATATTGATCGCTATCTCTAACTGGCTTTGTGCATGTATATTTGTCCCTTGTGTTAATTTTTTTCTAAAAAATGCTTGCCTATGGCACCATCTCAGTAACTACTTCCATAAGTGTGTTGGCTAGACTTGAGATGGGTTGAATCTTCAAGCAGTCCAGACAGCCGTGTTAATTACCGCTCTGTTGGCACAGACTCTCTCTCTCGCTACCAGTGATGTAAATTAGACCATCAAGTTAGTGGTGTGAGAACAAGAATGTAAAAGATAAAAGGACATTTGTTTTTAAAAGGTAACATTTTTGACACCTTCTAATTTCATTAATTTAATGTGAAATAGTTCCTTTACACACCAGGTGCTTTGTGCTGCCATTACTTTCTGGCACACCTTCTGATATTTGAGTGATGCAGGCCATGTTAAGATGAAATTTTACCGGCTATTTTACTCTGAATTATGTTGGATGAGAAACAGAACTCTTTCTTGGCACCGTGTAAAATTCCTCCAGACTTTGCACCATTCCTGCAAAATCCTGCCCAGTCTCTCTTCATAATCTGTCCACAGCCAAAGCTGTACATTTTGAAAATGAAGTCCAACAGCAATAAACTCCTCCATTTGATTCCTGGTGTTTATCAGGTCTTAATTGTGCTTAAACTTCTCTTTCAGATGGACAACAGATGTGGGAGGTAGAAGCAACAGTGGATAAAGATAAAAGCCAGCCTGTAAGTATTCAGTTCAAAAGAGGTCCAGTATTATCTTCAGACCTGCATTGAACAGGTGATTAGAGCTTAATAAGGAGAGGATTTTCCATATTTTTTTATTATTAAAAAGTTGTCTGGCTACATTAAAACAAATAACCCCTTATTAGGTCTTCGACGTTCTACAAATCTAAGAGAAACCGATCAAAACTTGCCAGATTTTAGATAATAATTCTTCTGTTGTAGCATATATACATATATATATATAGAAGTGCTAATCAGGAATAGAAAAGCCACATCGAGCCAAGAATAGTATATAGAGATGTAAATACGAATCGTATTTTATATGTCAGAAGTACAGAAGCCTGGACAGACTATAATCGGACCTTTCTTTCCTGTTACTCTAAGGGTTTATATGCTGTGTTCAGTTATATATAGCAGATTTGATTAATTGAATTTTCTATTTCACCGCTCCAGTGATGTAAAATTGTCTGAACGAAATTTTAAAACAATTATACACTGTTTTCCGTCAGGAAATGGGGAGGTGAGGGAGACACTATTAATCTCCATGTAAAACCATATGGAAACAAAGGTACATTGTGCACCACGTGGAAACCATGTATACAGAGAGAATTCCAGTTGTCTTTATTTATGTAACAATCAGTGAAAACCGTTACAAGTGTTGTGTAACTCTTTTAATTGGTTGTTAATTACATAATTAAAGGCGCCCATAATTCTCTCAGCTCACATGTGTTTACCCAACACAACATACAAATTAGACAAATACAATGGATCTGATATCAGCAAACTGAATGAGGTTGTTCCTCTGCATATTTCCTCTCCGCACTCCTCTACTGAAGGCATTTGACTCTATTTTTGCTTATACTGGGGATATCCTTTGACAGTGGTTGCCCTAACCATATCTTATCCAAGTAACTATTATACACTTGTGAGCTTTGACAATGAGCGTTGGCAGAAAATTTGATGGCAATGCTTCCAACGATTACACCTTAAACATAGCAGTAACCACAAAAAAAACATCTCAACTGAACTGCTTTTGAACTTTACATTGTGAATGCACCCAACGCAATTTTGTTCTGTATTGAAACAATGCACCATTCATGTAACCTCAACATGAAGTGGACTTTATTCTTCTTCATTGTTTGAAGAATTTTGAAAAGAATGATGAAACATATTGGCGGAAAACTACAATCATTTCATTTCATTCCTCATCTCTGTTTGTGTCTCTTTAGAATATTCTTTTTGTTGAAATTCCACGTTATCAGAACCAGCTGATACACACCCCAGCCAAAGTGAGTTTCTGCGTCGTTAATGGAAAAAGAAAAAAAAGCCAGCCACAGCGGTTTACATATCTTCCTGCAGGTAAATTCCATGACGAGATCTCAGTGTATGTGCATTCCTGATGAAACATGTGTTAAAGAGCTGAAAGATGATCAGCAAATATCTTTACCAGTGAAAGAAAGATTTTGAATAGCAATGGAATACTATTGAGCTGTTCATACAGACTTCATTTAATTTCATTGCGCATTATTCTTAACATAGAAGGACACTTTTTTTTTAAAAACTGTCCCTCTTGTGAAGCAGCTTTCCTCTTCTTGTAGAAGAGTTAGGCTGCCACAATTAGGACTCACATTTTTATAAAGGCATATTACATCAAAATGCCCTGAAAGAGCTTTACAAATTATTACTGTTGAGAACCTTGCCATTGCTTTGGTAGGCAAACATTGAAACCATTTGCACTGGCAAAGATTCATAAACTGTTATGAGGCAAATGGCCAATTAATCTGAATGACTGCTCAGGATACAAAAGTAAACCCTTCTCTTTCTGTGTAACATTGTGGAATCTTAAAGTCCATCTAGAACAGGAAAACGGACCTCAATTAACTTCTTATCAATGGTATCTCGAACAATGCAGCAATCTCTCGGTATTTTAAGTCACAACCTAGGAGTTGAACCCACAACCTTCTGACTTGCAGACAAAACACGTTATCATATAAAGCGCTCTGTGTGAAGCTGAGCCAAATTCATACAGCTTAAGTAACCCCATAAGCAATGGTTGAATGAGGAGTGTGGGCTGTTGAAATCCCTAGTGTTGTATAATTTGTATCATGACATCTGATGTGTTAGAAATGGTAAAGGCCTTGATGTTCACTGAGACTCCATAAGCTTGTTCTCTCATATGTTTCAGTGCCCATCATTAAAACAGAGCCATCTGATGAGTGTGAGGCCACCTTAATCCACAGTGCACATAGAGAAGCAATGTCACAGCTTTATTATGCATCGCAGGGCATGACCCCTGTAATGGTCGGTGACCCAACTTCAAGCTATGGGGCTCCCTGTCGTCCTGGAGTCTCTCCACCCGATTCCAGATACCAGCAGCATAACCCATCAGGGGCTATGTATCAGAGGTGCAAAAGCGGCAGCCCCAGTCAACTAGGCTACCAGTCATCTCCAGTCATGGTGTCGTCGATTCCCACAATTCAAGACGGTCACCGATCAGTCTTAGTGCATCCTGGGTCACCTGGGCAACCCGGCATGCTGCACCACTCGCCAGTCAATCAGTCCTCTATCATGATTCATCATTCCTCAAACAATCAACACTCTTCTTCCATGCTTCACAATTCTCCAACCCATCACCAGTCGTCTATGATTCAGCACTCTCCAAATAGCCAGCAGTTGTTGCCCATGATTCACCATTCACCAAACAGCCAACAGCTCAGGTACTGCAGCCACCAGGATTACCAGCACCAAGTGTATTTAGAGAATGATGCCCACGTGCCCACAGTGCAGGCCGCAACACCGCAAGCAGCACATCACATGCAGAGGAATAGCCCGACTCACTATCCAGCTGTGATCCAGCAACAGCACTCATCCCATGCCGTGCAGAAGACGTCCAAAAACGGGCCCTCGCCAAGTCAGCTTGCTTCACTGACACTGGCTCAGCAGGAGTCGGAGAAGGAAGCCATATCTACTGAGGTCACCGTGAAGCAGGAACCACAGAACCTGGACCAGGCGTATTTGGATGATGGTAAGAACCCATCCAATTCTTGGATTTTAGAACACTGAAGTCCCCAAAACATCTTATTTCTATAACTCTTGTATTGTGTAATTATCGAGGTGAGGGATGATAGTACAATAGGGCTAGGAAACTTGTTCCTTCCTCTCCTCCCCCACCCTCCCCACCCTCCACCCCATTTCATCCATTGTCAGCAACTTCATCTAGTAATGTTAAAAAAGATTAGGTACAGAGTAAACTTTGCTTTGAATAGTTGCAACAATCTACTGCAACATCATAAAGCCACCTCCCACACTGCTCTTAATGGTTCATTTCCTAACAGAGAATGAGAGTTTCTTATCAAAGCAGTCGAGCAGTTTTATTTAATCTTGAACAAAAATTTTCCCTGACAACTGGGTGAGAATGTCCAAACCCATTTCACTTTGGACAACTTAACAAACCAGCTGAAAAAGAAAGATTTGATCCTAATTACCTTGACCTGGATTCATAGCCAGGGTTATGGAGGTGAAAGTACATCGGGTAAATCTCCTCCTGTGAGTTTCTAGTGTAATTGATCCTGGAGGTTGATCTGAGACTTGGTGGCGCAACAGATTGTCAGTCACTGAGAAAGGGATGGCTCTTACTGCTGCACAACATGCATTTCAAAATGCTTGTATCCTCCTGACTACAGCTTTTCCGTACATGCCTGGAACGATACTGCTGCTCTAAATGGGCCTGTAATCTCCATCAGATCCACTCTCAGGCTATTTTCCATGATTTGCGTTGGTTATTTTGCCGTAGGCCCAGTTCGTTACTGGTAACGACAGTAGGGTTGCCACTCCAATGAGCTGGGCCTGTAGCTAAATAACCATGGTATGGCATTACTTGGTATGAAGTATGTTTTTTTTCTGGTCAGCTGGGTCTGACACATACAGAACCCCATCCCTATGCTTAAGAATATCCAAACCAGACTTGAGAGTTCCACATATGTGTATGCATGACACCTACACAAGGACACTTCCTGTGTCTGGAATGGAATGTGCACTCTCCTGCTCACCCATTTCCTGGGAATATTGCGTGCAAATTGGCAAGAACTAAGGCTTGGGAGTGTTTTGGGTATTCAGTTCAATAACCTAAAACAGTATAGTTTATCACTGACAGGACTGTCTGGCCAGCATTGTGATTTGGATTTTAGCTTGCAGGTTGACAGAAGTTGAGTGGGAAGAATCCCTGCTCACAGTTTGACCCTCCAAATTCTGCCACTAAGCCAGGCTGTCATCAGCAGTGCCCTGGAGTACTGCAAACCCGCCTGGCTCAGGAACTGTATTACCAAGATAGCCACAAAGCGTTCACTCAATTCCGACATTTCATTGCCTAGCAGGACATCTACTCAACTGTCCATATTCTTCAACAGTGTAGTTAAAGGAGAAATAGAATTACGTTCAGTTTTCTCGTTACGGAAGGTCACAGTGTCCAAGTTCTCTTCAAAGGAATACATGTTTCTGAGCTTTCTGTAGACCAGCAGTTCAGAATAGATTCTTTGATTACTGAGAACCTTATGTTAAGGATACATTCACTCCCTGGTGATTCAGTGGTGAAGGATGTACCATTCCCCATTGGCCTAGTGATGAAAGATGTGCACATTTTAACTGCAATACAGAAAGGTGCTTTCCCCACAAGCAACTCATTCTGCTTTATTTCAGGATTTGGATTTGGACCATCTGAATTCCAGTCGACTGAATTTATGTCCTNAAAAAACTTTCTATATTTTCAACACAGTAAAGTGGTTGAGATTTAACTAATAGCAATACAAAGCACAGCCAAAAGTGTTATTAACACTGTTGGATTATTAAACATGCTGTCAACCAAGGAGTTTTAATGTTATTTTAATAGGTGACAGTGTCCAAAACGATCTTTACCTCATTTAGAAGTGACCTTTCCTTTGAATGTATTTAAGTGAAGTACTTTCATCAACATGTGATGAAGAGGAAATGTGATGCATATATGAGGGAGAAGGGAACAGAGGGGTAAAGGAGAGGTATCAGGATAAGTGGAGGTTTGTGTAGAGTTTAAACACTGGCACAGGATAGGCCAAATGGCCTGTTTGCACATTCTGTGTAATTCTATGAATATTCCCTGTATTAACATTATTAGTAAATAAATACTGTATATTATTTTGAGGTATCATAGCTGTAGTCCCTTGATCCACAGACTCCCCCTAAAATCAGTTGTTCACTCACGTCTACAAATTGAGCAGATGTCACGGTTTGGCGAGATGCACTTTCAGTTATCGATAGGAGTCATCGTTTGAGACTGGTGATTCCCGTCACCACATTGATCCCCTTTGTTAGCCGCTACACTTAGCACTAAGCAGAATACATTGCCTTGTTACAGCATTTGCTGATGCACAATACATTCCAGACAGCTGGAAATAATCCACCGTCTGTAGGGAGAGTCCAAGTGCCTACTGTTTGGCACTCCTTTTTTTCAATAATCATATTTCAGATGAGTTTGCTAAAAATCCCCACTTATATATTTCCTGTTTAAAGGTGATTTCTTCATGAAAAAATGACATATAAAGTGCTTAGAGGCTGAAGCAAATGCATTTATTCCTAAACAGTGCCGACTTCCACATCCTGCCAACGTAATAGAACTGATGTCTTTCAGCTTTGTATGGCAAGGTGATGATGGTTGAGATGCTTCATTAAAATGGAACTTAAGCAGCTTCACATCGAACTACATCGGAAGAAAGAATTTTATCAATAGCGTTCATTTAAATAAATGTAATCATTTTATTGTTAGATGCAGTCAATCTCATTCTAATACTGGTAGTTGGGTTATAATTTATATTCACTCCACACAATCATCTATATAAAGCGCTGCTCTTTATTTTTCAAAACAAAAAAAACTTTCTATATGTCCTTTGCTACTTCTTGTTGATGATTAAGTTAAGGGAACCTGGTTATATAAGACTGAGCAATTGCAATTGACAGTAATAGATGTCTTTAAACTTGATGTCCGAAACAAGAGCCTTATATAATATAATAATAATAATCCTTGCGTTTGATGTAGCACCTTATTACGTGAGATGTCTCAAAGCGCTTCACAGGACATATTGTAAAGTGGATTGACTATGTACTTTCTGGACGAAACACAGCAGCCAATTGCGCACAACAATGTCCCACAAACAGTCATGGAGTGAGTGATCACATTTTTTTTTGGGTGGGGGGGAGATTATTACCCCTGGAAAGCAATTTGTCAATTGATTAACAACCAGGTTCCTATGGAGTCAGATAATACCCTCTCCGTAAATCTAACCCTATTACTTTTTGCACATCAGATACATCGTCAGTAATATTACTGCAGTGACCTTTAATGCAGTGATAGTTTTCTGCTCCAAGGCATTTAACCCAATGAAACAGTTGATTGTTATTTACAAGACCTCCTCTGTTTATAACATTTATATTTGGAATGAATAGATCTTACTTGCCGGGTTCTCTCGCAATATGAGAAACTACCTACATTATTGAGGGATACTGTGTTTTGCAAAAAAAATGCAAACCCGTTACTTGTAATCCGATAGCAAATCTGAAACTGAGATATAATTTTAACTGAAAAAACAGGAGGCAGGACTCCTTCAAAGTCAATAGATAAGAAAGAAGCCATGACCTGAGAGAACCAAACCCAAATACTCGCAAAAAAAATAGCAAAATACTGCAGATGCTGGAAATCTGAAATAAAAACAGACGTTGCTGAGAACACTCAGGAGGTCAGGCATCTATGGAGAGAGGAAGGTCATTGACTTGAAATGTTAACTCACTTTATGCCACCGATTATGCCACATAATATTAAAAGCTTTTAAGTTGCTTCAGTTATGTTTGAATGGAAGACAGTGTTAATATTCAAGGGTGTTTTGTTTTCTCTGATTCATCACCTAAACGTGCTGAGACCTAAGTTTGGGGCTTTCCATTGTTGCCAACTGATGAACCACCAGTAACTTCATTGCACTTTTCATTGTTTGCAATCTGGTTTACTGCTCACAAGCTGTTCATTTTTGTGCATCATGATTTTTTGTGATAATTGCTAGTGGCTCTCCTGATTACCTCCTCTCGATTCAGGATTGCCGTCCAGCCCAAATTTGAGGCAACTCAAGAGAACGGCGCAACATTCAATTTCACCTTAATTTGTTTCCCCTGGTCTTCGCTGAAAAGGCTGCAAGTCTTTTCCTCAGTGTGGTATACTCCATCCATTCACTTGCTTGCAATTAGACAAACATCTGGCCAAAGATAACCTGGGCTGGATATCACAATTTACATTCCAATGGGAAGCATAAACTCAGGTGTCAAATACCTGATTCTTACTGTCACTGAATTTAAGTATTTAAATCAATGACTCCTTTCACTAAAGCGGGAAATATATAAACCAGAGACGAACTCTTGCTAAGAGCAGGTTCCTGCACCCACTCACACAGCTCTCTTCCTTCAGGTAACCCACACATCGCTAGAATTTCTTGTAAAATGGTCGTCAGTGCTGTAACGTGAGGAAGAGAAATGCATGAAAGCAAAATAGGTGAAAGATCTAAGCTCGGGAGTTCTTTCTGGTTTCCTCTCTTGGCAGAAACACAAGTTTTTTTTTCTTCATTCTTCCAATAATGTTGTGTTTTGCAGATTCTTTTTGGTTGTGTCTGTTCTGTTGATCTGGGTAACAGTTATTGTATTGAACAGCAGGTTCATAAATGTGTCAAACTGCCCCATTGTTGGGGGCAGGTGCAGAGGAATTAACTGCAGAAATTGGGTGGATCCCATTGCGATGACACAGCAAGCACTAGGGTGAATGGGGAAAGTTAGGGTAGGTAAATCCCCTTAATGATTCTTACAGGATAGAAGTTCCACTGGATCACACTTTTGCTGTGAAAGTTGTGCCATTTCTGCAATGACGTTTGCTACAGTTTCAATAATGTCATCCAAAAAAACATTGGTGTGAAATGACAGTTAATTCATAACTTGGATTCCTCCACTTTGACCCATGGAGTT